AAAACTCAAAGATATTCAATCAACAATGACATAAAACTGCGAAAAGCTTAAAAACCTCACATTTGAGAAGCTGCAACCAATGAATGTTTGAATGTGAATTTTTGCTTGATGTATGACTGAAATTACAAATTTTCTATCAACTAATCAAGTAACTGTCTTGCGTACTAGCACTCATCTGTCTAGGGCAGAACAAGGACAATTAGTTTCAGACAAAATAGCGTATGTGCAACCACACTGGTTTGTGTTAATATTATTTCTATGCTCCAAGCATTTGCACATATAGTAATGTATGCATTTGCACCTCAAGCTCTAGCACAGAGTAAAACGCTTTTGTATAAGGACACTTCTGAAACTTGCTCAAAGCTATTTTACAGATAACTTAAAAAAGCAGCCAAAAAGCTAGAGGAATTGTGTAAAATCCTCTCAGCTTCTTAAATTTACTTCTCAGTCATATACAGTAAATCCTCTACATAAGAAGCTGAGGAAGAAATTATCACAGGTCTACTTACATACAGTGTTTGAACTGATTTATTTATTACTTTTGTTTATACTTCAATGTTAAAAGGCAAACCTTTGAGGAAAGAAGTTGGTTTTTAATTAATAAACACTATGATAAATGCTTTAACTGCTTTAATTAGATATCTTCAGAGTGGTCTGAGAGGAATGTATGTATATTAGTACTCTGCTGACTCCAGCAGTAATGTGTGTATTAGTACCCTCCTGGCAGTACCACAGTACAGCTCAATGTGTGTACTACCTGCTAGTGCCCTCCTGGCTGTAGAAAACAGAGTAGGTTAACTCGTCTCCGTGGGGTTCGGCCGGCGGGCGCCAGGTCAGCTTGATGAAGCGGGTGGAAACCAACGAAGCCACGACATCTCGGGGACCAGAGGGAGTGGGCCCTGCTGGACTGGCTACGCCTCCGGAGCCTGGCGTTACATGGTCAGTAGTGTTAGGAGTCAGTGAAGGGGGAGGGAAAGAGGGCAGGGCTACGTCTTTGGGTTGGGAGGAGGAGGAGGAAGGAGGAGGGAGGGATGGCAGGATGGGTGTAGGGAGACAGGGAGGGGCAGGAGACAGCGGCAGCGTGGGAGGGGATGAGAGAAATATCACGCAGAGGCGTTCAAAAGGAACAGGTCGAGGAGAGGAAAGGAGTTGAAATGGAAATGACAGTGAAACGAAAGAAAGGAAGGAAACAAAAAAAAGAAGAAAAAACAAAATAACAACAACGTAACAAAAAAAGACTTTTGGTGTGACAAAGAACCACAGAAATAAAACACTTCTACTACATTCACAAAGCTGACAAATACAAGCACAATACAAGGGGGGACTACACATGCAAATCTACACACAGCTCTCTAATGTAAGGGTTGTGGGAGCAGAACATAGCATCATACATTTCATTTGTAACAGACGGACTTCCTGCCAATCATTTGTCATTCACAATGATTGGTTTGCATTTTTATGACATTTTTATGAACTAAAAATGGGCCAGGATTGGATTTTAAAAAAAAAATAGGTAGGCTTTGTTTTGACAGGGACAAAGCCACCTTCTAGCCTCTCAAATGCACACAAGAAAACCGTCCATGTGTTCAGAGAATTAATTTTTTCAGTCAAACCACTGAAGACTACCCCAACCCCCCCCTAAGAAGGTGATTCAGAAGTCTAGATTCTCTCAACTGACACACCAGATGATGTTTTTTTAACGCCTTTGCCGTCACATTCCACAGCCCAGCCACAGAAATGTTGGTGATTTCATTTGGTGTTTTTTTTTTGTCTTTTTCTTTGGAGGAACAATCTGCGGTCAGACTCAGTGAGATCTGCTTTCCATTTGCCTGGCAAGTGGGCGAAACGAAACCATACGGAAAGAATGTCAGTCTGTATGACATTTCCATTTGTTTGCAGGTCAAGGAAAGTGACTGGAGGGCAAAGCTGAAATACAGAAAAGGAGCACGGCAAAGTCTAGTGTGCAAACGGTGTATTATTACTGGAGAAATTGTTTTGAAATGCAAAGCGGCTGCTGGCGTATTTGTCTGTCATGGCGTGTGGACTAACCGCTAACCTGGCTTTCAGTATTTGTTTACATTTCGAATTCCCAGAGTTCACTGAGTTTTGTGATTGGAGTGATATGAGGGATTTGCCACTTTTATTTCTTCCACAGAATGACATGGTCCACACGCAGTTTTCTGTACATCAACACACACTCTTTCAACTCACACACACTGTGATCAAGGTGTTTATCAAGAACTGACTTTCTGCATCTGCACAAACCCCTGAAGGAGCTTTAGGTTTACATTACTGGCTCACACATTACAGTGTCTGTGTGAGTGTGCACACAGAGTACACTCAGTAGTCTTTGGCCAGTGACACTTTTCACCTTGAAATGAAAACAGTGATTATAAGGTTCAAGTGCTGACTATAATCTTTAATATTGGATTATTTGACACAAAACTAAAAATACAAAAAAACTGTTAATCACATATAACATTTTGTTGCAAAAGTCGATGACTAGCTGAGGCTACAACTCAGAGGCTTTAGACACTCGATATCCTCAATTCTTGCTGTTTCTAGGGGAATTGCTGCCTTCAGTTTGGCCTTCAGCAAGTAAGACACATGCTCAGATGGATTGAGTTCAGGTGACTGATGTGGCCGGTCAACATCATCCCACTGGTTGGGCCTTAGAAAAAAACCCATTAGTTGCCTTGTCTGTATAGAAAAGAACTGGGGGACTAATGTATAAAAAGTACTACACCTCAATCCATTATGGACAGAGACAACCACAAACAACTTGAAAGCTGGAAGTCAGCACTTTAACCTCAAAGCCACGGTTTCATTTCACATCCAGTTGGCTGGAATACGGCCAAAAATAAAAGGAAAACATATCATCGTCCTAATACTTTCTGACTGCAGTGTAAATTACCAGATGCTGAACAATTATCCTTGTCTAAAACGACACACACACACACACACACACACACACACACACACACAAAGCAAAAGTCTGGTGTCTCATATCACACCAGTGATGGGGTTATCACAACATAACCATAAGCAGGCTGACAGGATAAACAAAAGCTTGAAGCCTGTTTGTTGGTGAGGAAGCACTTCCAGCAATACTAAAATGTGAACACACAGGAGAGCACAATCCAAGTAACACGGTGGAGTTTATGTAGTGAGGATACACAGCAAATTCTAATTCCCCTTGGCAATGGAGACAAAAGTCCACTCATTATAAATACATAAACACTTCTATTAGATGTAACAGTGCAAAAACAAAGACAAAACAAACTAAGACAAATTACTAAAATCTAATGTTGGAAAGGGTTTACAGACAGGAAAAATAAGGGGGGGGATAAAGGAAAAAAGAAAGATATTCATAACTGCAGTCAAAATATTTAAAGAAATCCAGTTACTTTAAATTGGATCAGCCGACCCAAACCATAACTAACTAACTGTTAAATCTATAACCAGGCAGCTGCATCCAGACTGTGTAATAATCATACTGTATGTACATATAAGAGTCTGAATCAATTAATTGTTTCAAAAAAGAGAGAATAGACTCTCAGTGGAAAGTAAAAGTGAGCACTGGTGGGGCCTTCATGTGATGAAAGGCTTTGAAAATGGATATAACACTGAGTGACTTCTGCTTGTTTACTACTGAACATCTGCTGTAAAAAAATCTAAACTAACAAGACTGACAGAATTAATCATTTTAATCAAATGTTCTAAATGATTAATTTCAGCATTCATTTGGCAGATAGGTATCGGTACAACGCAGTCAGAAGTAATAGTAAATCAGTTATTGCCTCTTTAAAATGAAGGTTGCATAACATTGTTGCAGGCAAATTCAGCAAAAATAAATAAAAAAGGATGATACGTAATAAAATTAGAAATATCACCACAACATTAAGTAATCAGCAAAAACCCAGATTTCCCTTCAAATCCTGTTTTCTACCTTATGAATGAGTAAACAGTTTGAAATACTAAACTAGAAAAGTAGGACAGAATCCCATGTGTCCAAGATATGTTTCATGTTAGTCAGTTTTGCAACATCTGGAGTTGAGCCATCGCTTGTTGTTAGAGACAGAAGTTGTAACAGAAGTTGAGCCAAGCTTTTAGACATGCATTTGTAGACATATTTAGAAAGAAACCCCAACTTTATTTTCCGTTGCTACAGGCATTATGTACTGTAGCAGAGGAGTCATTTTAGTGCACTGTTCAGTGAGAAAAAGAAAACGGATAAAGCTTGAGTGCTGCTATAGAGTCAAATGTTTCTCACAGGGGGTTTCTTCAAATGGCACACACCGCCTCGCAGACACATTGGTCACTTCTTTGAGTATATTTGTCCATCAGTATCCTGAGTGAACTGAGATAAGAGGCTGGATGTCTCTCCTTTTTTGAAAAGAAGAAGAAGATATATACTTTATTAATCCCCTATTGGGGAAATTCTTCTTTTCACTCTTTTTTATTCTTACACACACACACACACACACACACACACAGGCTGAAATACACACTTCATGCACTTGTGGACATCACAGAAAATCCCAGTTGGATGGGCTTCGGCCAATGTACGCCCAAAACTCCATCTCCGTCAACGGGCAGCCAACATGGCCCTTCTCCAGGCAAGCTGTGCCAGTCCAGCAAGCTCCATATAAGACATCAAGGAGACTAACTTCAATGTTTGGTTGGATTTGGAACCAGCAACCCTCCGGTTCCCAAGCCAAGTCCCTACACACTGAACTACTGCCGCAAATAAATTGAAGCAAATATAATAAGGAATACCACATTATAGTAAAAAAATTATCCTGAAATCAGTGTCAGGCCTGGAGAGAAATGCATTGTGGGATAGGCAAAGAGGGGGGGGGGGCTATTAGATGTAGTTTCCATCTTCAGACACCTTGTCAGCTGTAGGTAATTGACATACTGGGCAGTCTTCTGTGTCCTTCTGACAATCTGTCTTGTACATGCATGGGTAGAATTGTTACAGTAAGGTGTCAGCCTCCCACCTCCGCTGCAAGGCTCTATTCATAGCTGATTAATAGTGTCATTAGTCTCTGTGCCAGAGGTAATGAATGGCTGGCATTAAGGCTTAACGAGGAAGGTTACTCTAGATCTGCATAATAAATCTGGGTAACCAATACGCAAAACAGTCAAGACAAAGACATGCATAGCGAAGCATTCATCTTAATATCCAATGGAAGTCAAAACTGTTTCTGAAATTTAAAATAATTGAAGTAGCATTAAAGTTCTGATTAAAGCCGCGCAACTTCAACTTTTATCTTCTGTTGCTAACTCCATAAATCCTTTGCTGTGTTCCCCATTGGCGTAGCTGGAAAGTTACGCCAAGTACTTTTTTTTTTCCTCATCTGGTCTGAGTACACAGATAAGAGAGCCTACCTCACTGGTGCAGACTATGCACCTCCACCAAGAGAGCATAAATCTACTGAATGCAGATATCTGCCAGAAGCACCCACAGCACTGTAACTACAGATAGCCTTTTCAGAGGGAATTCAGTGGGCCATGCCAGGCTCTTGCAAAATGGATTTTCTCTGTACTAGTTTCCATGTCTAATGTGGTTCGGTAATGATGACTGCGTAAGAGACAGATCCGCCACAATGCTAATGGTCCATTACTGAGTCTCTACTTTTATCTGCCACAGAATGAACAGAGCGAGAATGAACAATATACTCAAAAAGCATAGTTCAGAGCCTTCAAAAACCCTCCACAAAGCACACTGTCAATTAAAACTGGCAGTCTTCATAATGTTTCATATGAACATGCAGCACAATGAGAAAACATATTACCATACTCTGTAGGGAACATATATGGGCTTGTAATTGAAGTGCATGAAGGTGATTACAGAGAAATTGTAGTTTCCTTCTGAAGTAAAGAGAAAAATTCATAGAGAGATCCTTTCATTAAAATATAAAGGTAATGTAAGCAACAACTGAACCCTTCGATTGCTGTTCTGTGTTAGAAAACTGTTGGTTGCTTT